TGTTCGTTTAATCATCTAATGGTCGTCATGATGGTGTACAGGATGTAGATAAGTGATCACATGCACGCTGTTATGGTGTGGCAGTTTGGAAAATACCGTTCACATAAACCTCAGATTAGGACAAGAAAGGGAGTTGGCACTGGGAGTAGCTGCAAGGAAGGAAGTTCAAGGGAAGTAATGTAGAGGTTAAAAAACAGAACAGGTGGACTTAGCCTGCAAAGAAATATATTCACCTGTTGCTCATCTCTCTGTTTCAGTTGTCTAAATAGAGATAGTTGTGCAATTCAAGTGAACTTTGGCCCGTCTTAAACAGACACTGAAGTTCAACAGTTGTGTTGCACCACTCCTAGCAGACCAGGAAACTGTATGAGACCAATCTCGAGGTGCTGGATTTCTGACAACACTTGTTAATAATTTCTCATTTTTCTTGTGATGTTGTGTGAATGGTGCATTGGTATCAGGGAATAGGAGAGGGAAGTTGTTACTGCTTGTGAGCCCTAAATTCCTTCAGATCAACTTGGTGTCTTGCGTGAAAAGATCTACTAATGTGGGAATTAGAAGTAGGATAGTAATTTTGAAAGAAGGTTAGGTTCAGTCAGAGGCGAATTTATTTTACTCTGGATACATACTTTTCAAAGAAAATCCTGGAAATCCACAGATGCCTCTGAAAGGCAACCTGTACAAAATTGACAGGTGATTATTTCTACATATTGTATTTCATAAGTAATTCTTTTACTAACAAGTGAATAGTTCCGAGATGCTGTTTTATAGTGCAGAAAAAACTTTTTTTTTTCCTCATCTTTCACCATATTAAAGCTGCAGTAGTTATCCTAAGAGTGAAATGCATTCTGAGTGAATATACTACATATGTATTAATTATTACCACAGAAGAGAATGTGCATAACTATAAAATATGGTATGTGTAAGAGATGTGATAATTCTGGTGTCACCACAGGGACTGAATTTTATGAAGCTGTTTTGTATTTTATACTTTGCCAGTTGGCATGTTGCATCATTCTCAATTGTCATCAGTGATATGTTTGTAAATAGTATATGGGCAGAGTTTGGCTTTTAAGTGTTTGGAGATTCTGTTATGTCCTTGACCTACACAAAGTCACTCACACTTTACCCTTTCTGAAACTTCTACAGCTAACTTCTCTGAGCAAGTAGTTGAAAGCTTTCCATCTGATATCTCTACTGGTATATACTATGGATGGGCCTGTGTTGGAAATGGAGATGTGCATAAAATGGTTTTGAGCATAGGATGGAATCCTTTCTATAAGAATATTAAGAAATCAGTGGTAAGATTTTTGTTTTGTGTGGGGATTTTATTGTGACAAATGAGCCAGGTGTATTTGCTATCCGTATCCTATGTTTGTATACTGAAAAGAAAATACTCTCAGTAGCCAGAGAGTATGCAGCTGCAGGTGAATAAAGCTTATTATCTTCTTTCTATTCCATCATTACTTAAATACTTCTAAAATAAAAACTTTAACAGTGTTTCTGAAATGTTGGTTGCTTATGGTGCTGATAGCTAACTAAACATAAGCTTGATAGATGCATTGAATTTACTCGTTATGAGAACTCTAGCATGAGCTGGAGCATACTAATTATTATTCTCTGCAATCTATACACGTATCAAATAAGAGTTGTTGGGGCATCTTGATTTGTAATGCTTTCCTATTAATTCTTCTCTTAAATGATGGAATCCGTACATGAGATGCTGTGGCTTGATATACAGAATAAACATTCAAAAGTACATACTAACAGGATGGAGGAGTTGAGTGGCAGCTCTGTTTTTCTTGCTGTCTGTCAGGTGCTGGTGCTTTTCCTGAATCTTGCAGAGCTCTGTTTTAATTGTTTAAAACACTTTTATTTGGGCATAAATCTCTGCTTCTAAGGTTCTAAGCGTTTAAGACTCCGTAATGCGCTTGACTTACATAAAAGTATACTTTCTGAAATTTTTGTAGATAACTTTTCTAAGCAAGTAGTCAAAAGCTTTCATTCTGATCTCTCTGCTGCTATATGCTGCGGGTGGGCCTGTGTTGGAGAGGGAGATGTGCATAAAATGGTTTTGAGCGTAAGATGGAACCCTGTCTCAGCCTTTGCTTCTTCTTGAATTTTATCATTCACTTCCCATGTGAGCTGCTTGTAAAAGCTCTCCTTAAGTCAACGATTTCAGTCAAAATCTTCATAGTTATTTAGATGCAACAACTCAACAATAAAACATTAAGCATTATTTGCAGTTTGCTGCCTTGAAATCTTAACTCTTAGAAGTGGTGAAGCATTTCTCCTGAATAATGGCTTGCTTTTTTTTTGGGGGGG